GCAAAACAATAACATCTCCATGGAGACAAGCAGGTCGTGGGCTCTCCATCAGAAAAGTTATTAGGATTTTTATGCAAACCCACGAAAAAAAAGTTGTAAAACATAAATAAAATGTTCAGATTAAGTATACCCATAATACACAAAAAAATAATAATTTGTTTTTTGTCATAACTTTTTAAATTCGTTGTATATTATTTTACAAAGAAACAGTCGAAATCACTCAAATAAAAGCAAATGACTGTGCACCATAAAAGGAGCTTCCAAATTTAAAATGATCTATGACCAAAAATCCCAGCGTAATTGTCTAAAATGGCCTCTTTTAGACAGTACTCATCAAAAACACACTGGATCCAATTACATTACATTACATTACACCAGGCGTTGTCAGAAACCTGCATTACGGTCATTACAGCAGCATCAATTCAGTTAAAGGCACCATTTCATTTGTTACAGTAAAAATAAATGCGTGTTAAATTTGAATTGCCGGAAGTATAAACAAATAAGAACTGGTAAAGGGTTTTAGGCCTGTCAGGATAATTAAAATATCGCCTTACTGTTCAATATATGAAAGCAGGAGGTCTGTTTTTACTGCATGTACATTTTACTGCATTACAGAGAAATCCATTGTGATTTTTTGGCTATATGATAAGATTTAAGCTGTAAAAGGTTGAATTAATAACTTCTATGACTCATTACAGATGCAAACTAATCACAAAAGAGTTTCATTCTGCAATTTATTTATTGCAGCTCATGAGTTTTGAGCAATATTGTACATTTAGAACAGCTTTTGTGGTTTAAATCTGCTCTTAGAGTTTCTATCAGTGGCATAAATTAGATTCAGTATTACTGTTTCTCATTTATATTTAAATCAGCATTTCAAAATTTGTTATCGTGACAGGCCTACATGTTAGTATTAAAACAAAAAAGTCCAAGTATACATCAAAACATTGCAGGTAAAGAGCTTCTTGCAATGGCCAGTTTTGTCAGTTGAATCTGTAGAAGTACAAAATACCATAAGTTAATCAACCTAGTTAGTTATGACTTATGCAGTTTGATACACATATTCCACAATTTACAATGTATAAAAAGTCACGATAACGGGTCAACTTAAAACTTATTTGAAAAAAGCATATTATAATTGAAATCACTGACTGTAGCTCTTTAAAATTAGTTTGTCAAATGTCAAGTGCAATATTATTTATTATTAAAGGACCTATATTACACTATTTTGTTGTAATGTTGTTTCTGTATCACAAACATACTTTAAGTTGCGTTTTCATTCACACATTTAACACACAAATCCTGCATATTTAGGTGTTTTAAACTCCATCTTTACTAGATTATTTTGGATAATTCAATCCTTGAAATCACTAATCTCTACAGAACTAAAATTAAAACATAGCTGTTAACTTAAAAATTGCTGCTTCATGACATCACCAGTTGGAACAAAGCATGTGAGCTTTGAAGATGTAAACAGACTAATAATAAAGTATTACTCAAACATGTGTGTGTGAATGAAACAAAACACAACTCCAGGTATGTTTTTGTACCATGGCTAAAAGCTCACAAGAGTAAATTTTGTGTTATATAGTACCTTTAAAGTTGAACAATTTGGCTGTAGACGAAGATAGATTTTGACCAAAGATTTTCACTGAACTTTTGACATTGAATTTAACATTTCATTGAACCTTTGGATGTCATACATAAACCACTGATTCAAGTCTCAGTGTGATTGTCTTTCTATTATCCATATTCTCGGAATCTTGAGTTGCTTTTCCTCACCACATCATTTGGACATTTCTCACTTGGTATTCTGAGCATATTGTGACCTTAAAATGAGAGAGCAGGACAAACCTATGTCATTTGTGTCTGCAGGGCACATACAGAAAGGTATTCATTAAAGGAGAGTGCTGTGCAATTACTCCACAGTGTAGCTGCACATATCAAGTGTGGAGCCGGAGCAGCCCTTAAAGACACAAAGAAACGGCACAAGAGAGGAACATATACTGTCACCGGAACATACATTGTGCTTAGTAACTTCTAAGATGTGCATGAAAAAAAAAAGAAATATCACGTGTACAATTAATAGTGATTCCTTTTAACATTTAAAGCTCCTGTATTACACAAGTTTCTGATCTATGTTATAATGATGTTTCCTCATCAAAAACATACTCTGTGTTGTGTTTTTGATTTCTTCACACATATTTAACACACATATTAGACTTCTTAGTTCAATCCACCTTGTGATGTCATATGGTAATACAGAAAGTGCTCCACTGTGTTTTTAAACTCTACAGTTTCACTAGAATCTTATGGATAATTTCAGCTTTGGAACTGCCAATCTCTACTGAACTAAAGGTAAAATGTAGCTGTTGAAAACTACACCTTCATGACATCACGAGGTGGAACAGAACACGTTGGTGGTTTAGACAGACGCATAATAAAGGACTACTCAAACATGTGAAGAAAAGAAAAGACAACTCTGGGTATGTTTGGAAGAGGTAATAGCATTATAGCATGGTTTAAAGCTCACAAATGTAATATAGGGCCTTTAATAGATTGTAATAATTGCAGATATGTATATGCTGAACTTTCTGTTAGGGTTGAGCAATAAGAAATCGTGAACTGAACCTGGCGACACTTTGCTATTTTGATTAAAACCTCATATCATGATTCACAAATTTTCAACACAACACATGTTTCTCTCACTGAACAACTTTTTTTAAGGCTCTGAGTAAGTGACAATTGGATTTAACTAATCACAGTGAAGTGCAAATTTAAAGAAGAAGTAGATCACTTATTATGTTTACCTCTTAAAATCAAATTGAAATTTTGATCTGGCTCCTAGAAAATACTGTCTTTTATTCCCCCCCCCCCTACTTGCTGTCTAACACAGTCTAATAATGTCTGTAAATATTGGTTAATCTGTGTGTGTTTTTGACCCATGACTGTTACACTGTTTGATTTTCTGTTGGTTTTGTCAACACTTTCATTAAACCCTGAAGGCGGCTGCTGTTGTGACTTTGTGTTCTACAAAAATAAATTGAATAGAAATTATGGCCACCCAACGAATCCATGTTGATACTGAAATTAGTAATGTTGTTTTCATCATAATAAATTATTGTTGTGTGGGTTGAATCTTAGTGTATGGTGCGTCTCTTTGGACACATTTCAACCTTTTAATTTTGCACTAATTGATAGTAGAGTCCTGGGGATACAGTGACACGATGACACAAAACAGATCTTTCAAACACATTTCATAATTTGACACCCAAAAAGCAGCTTGACGCAAATTGCACTTGTCAAAAAGAAGTCATTAGTGTTTTGAATGTAACTTTTCTGAGCAAAGTTTAAAAGCAATGATTGTGCAGGTTTGACAGGTCACGGTCACATCATCTCCCACTAAAGAGACAAATTATTATTTTTTTTTGCAAAATTGAAACTTTTTTATTTTCAAAAAGCAACAGATTACACAGTTAACTTTCAGCAAATGCAGTCCTAACTGAAACTGTTACTCACATTCGGGACTTCAAAAATGAAAGACACATACATACTTACACACAATCTATCTATAATATACAAAAAGAATAGATAATAAATATTAAAATGGCCACAAGAGAGAAAAAGTAAGTCATTGAAAACAATCAGAGCAAATGTTAGGGAAAGTATAACAAGACAGTGTGCCTTAAATGTCTTTTTTTGACTTTTACATTTTTTACAAATTGTGCAAGTTTTTTGTACTAAGGCTCTGGTCTTGAAGTGACAGTTGAATGATCCAAATGCACCCATACACAAAAAGAAATACTTGCAGTGATACCCATTCATACATGTCTCCCAGTGCTGTGAGCAGATAGTGGGGTGTAGCAAAACCAATGCAGAATTAATATGGGCTGTTTAGTGCTCATGGGAGTGGACCAGCTTGTCAAATTAACATGCACTTCAAATTGATGGTCGGTGTAAAGAAAACAGAAATCTCCTTGAATCTAAAGAAATAAAACAAAACAAAAAAACGTGAATAAATAACAAATATGACAGTATCAGAACCGTTAAGGCAAGAACACCCGGAGTGGCATCAGCAATACTGTGACAATATGTGTGGGTACATGGAGATGACCAAACATTTAAACTACTTCTTCAATGTCTTTTTTAAGCACAAGGTTGATCTTCAAAAGCAACTTCAAAAAAATCCAAACATCACTTCCACTTTTTTCCTCTTTTTTATAATAAAGGATGATAATAAAAATAACGATGCCAGACACTGAGGACGTATGGATCGTAAAACTACAAGAAATCATCTCTAGTTCTTAAGTTGCAACTTCAAAAAGTACACATTGTAAATCCCCCATCGGTGAGCCCCCTCCCAGGAAATGAAAAAGATATCACTTACATTAAAACCATTTTATCCTCTCGAGATGGTGTATTCCAACAGTCACCATGTTTTGCTTTACTTACAGCGATTGTGTAGTCTGTTGCAAATTAAAGCATTCAATGTTAGTTTTGAAAAAGAGAAAAAGTTGTCTTAGCAATTCAATTGCCAATTGTAGACCAAAAAAGCATCTTTACATCTTCTTTTAGTGCAACTCTTAAAATGTAAAACATTTCCAGTGATTCCTTGAGAGGTATCATTTCTTTGTTTCTGTATTTTTTTCTTTTCTTATTTTATTTTATTATGTCACACCTCACAAATGTAGCATCTTCAAATATCCAAAGCAAGAGGTTATCATTGCTTGTCAATTTTTTGTATTTTTTATTTTTTAATCTCTGCATTTGCATGGCCTTTCCACAATGTCTGGAACAAAAACAGGAGAAGCTCCTCACCTCCTGTATCTAATTCTATTCCCCTCAGCCTCCATGTTGGACACCATTATATTCAATCACTTGGACAGGGCCCGACAGTCCAGCTTCTCCCTCCAAGCCCGGGTCAGAGCAGGAGAGACGGAGGATGAAGAGAAAAGAGCGCTGTACAGATCAATCTGGGAACACAGAGACCCAGAGAGCCTTCATATAACGCAGTAAGGTTCCCTTGGTAACCTGGATTTTCTGCAGTAGAGGAGAGTGGTGCTGAAGCAGCGCCGCAGCTCCCTGTTGGAGAAGATGCAGATGAAGGGGTTGACCCCAGCCTGGGCGAAGCTCATCCACACGGCTGCCGTCAGGTAGCCCGCAGGGACCACTGGGCCCCTGGCAAAAACCCTCCAGTAGCACGCCACCAGATAGGGCCCCCACAGAGCCAGGAAGAAAAAGGTCATGATGTAGAACATCCTACTAATCCTCTTCTCTGTTTTGAACTCGTCCAGCACCAGCAGGCGGCGCCGTCCCGCCGCGTTGCTGTTCTGCCGGATGCCCAGCAGAGTGGGCGGGGTGGGCCCACGACCAAACCCCGCTAACCAGTTAGCCGCGGCCTGCCCGCTAGCCCCCGGCCCGTGGAAGGTCCAGTTCTGGCTGACGGCAGGCACAAACTGGACCGGTTTCATTTTCCGGCGGTCATGAACAAAGAAAATGAGCTTGAGGTAAACCAGCTGTGTGGCCAGGAGGATGAGAGCCAGCAGCAGCATAAAGCCCAGCGAGTCGTTGGCCCTGAAGGAGCGGTGCTGGAACGTGCACTGGTCCTCCTCTCGGATAAACGAGTACGTCCCTACGTCCAGCACCGGGGGGAACGCCATCGCCACCGACAACGTCCACACCATACAGATGACTGCCAAGCACGTCCAGAAGGTCAGCCGCTTGGTGTAGAAGCGGTGGTGCGCGATGGCCAGGTACCGCGTGACGCTCACACAAAACAACATGAACGCCGTGTGGAAACAGGACAGCACCCCCAGGAAGGCGATGACTTTGCAGGTCAGCGTGCCGTACGTCCAGGCCGATCCATTCTTGACGGAGGTGAAAACGAAGGGGAAGCAGATCGCCGAGCGCAGAATGTCCGATGCACACAGGTCCAGCAGGAAATAGTATGGCGCTCGATGCAAGCTCTTGTCTTTGACCAGCAGGATGGAGATCAGGAGGTTTCCAACTACACCAACGCCAATGATGAAACCCAGAGAGGTCAATTTAAGGAACGTGGCAAGAGGAGAGACATTCTGCAAGATGTTGTGGTCCCCTGCATGGCTATAGTTCGCCATAGATGGAGGAGGGATCATATAGATAGCGGGGATAGCTTCAGCTGAGTATCATGATCTAGAGGCAGCGAGGGGAGGCGTTACATCCATTTGGCGGTGTGCTTTGAAGAGGTTTCCAGGCATATAGGCAACCTCAGCTCTAAGGCATCCTTTGTTCCTTTGTCTCATCACACCTTGAAAAACATCCCTGAAAAATATCACCCACCAATCAACATTCAGTAGCATAACATAACTACATATGTTTCAAATGATATAACTGATAAACAACCCATTTTGTCAGTCTGTCTGTCTATATAATTCATATTTCAAATCCTAATCCCAGCTACTAATTTAAATGACGATACATTAAAATTATGGGGCTATTGATACATTGTGATTTCACGACATTTATGTGATGTGAAAATTTATATTTTCTTTCATGAGGGCTCCGGAATTTCCAGAACAAAGCAACATGAAAGAAAAAAAGGCACACACACAAACGGTGCCCATCTGATGCCCAAGTGTTACACAAATAGGCTTGTTTTTTTTCCCCTTTCTTTTTTCCGTTCATCCATTTTGATATCTCGGGGTTTATAAATGCGGTCCAGGCAATGGTTCTGGATCACACCCTGCAGAACACAGAAGAGGAGCAGCTCTAAAGCGGTGGATGCCTCGAATAAACTCGCCCCCTCTCGTCTTTTATGCGATATGGAAAAAAATCTCCGAAGAGCCTGAATGCGTAATAACGCGCTGGTGTTTTTGTCTGATTAAAGGTTAACTGGATTATTAGACGACGATCTCATTAGGGCGTTTAGCGACCCTTCTACCTCCATTTTACACCGCATTTCTGATTATAAAGAGTTGAGGGAAACAGACGAACAGGCGCTCACTGTGAAAACCGCATATCCAAAGCGTTTGGCTGTTTATGCGCGGGATTTTTTTTTTTTTTTTTTTTTGCCATCGAGACAAGCTCACAGATCTACTGCATTGTTGACGGTGGCTATGTGATGAATACTGTCTAATATCTACTTACGTGTTAATAGATTATGCATCCTCCGAGTGCCAGTCGTGTCGTTTACGCTCGTTTAAATCCGACACGTCCCCTTAAAAACAAACGGTGCCGTCGTTGTATCCAAAAGCCTCATAAGATTGTAACGTATCCGTGCGTCCATTAGACTAGAGTCATTCCCAAGTCTTCGCTCTATGTGAATCGCCCAGACAGACAAGACAAGGCCAAAAAAGAAAAAAGGAAAAGGCTCAAACCAAGACGCTCATCTCGAAGCCCAAATCAGTCAAAAATCCCTACCTGTTGATAATCCCCGGTCCTTTGTCTCTGGTAGGTTATTTACATTGCACCAGTCGGCATTTAATGTTTTTCTGAAAAGCTCGATTTGTTGCCTGCCTTCCCTGCCTGCCTCCGTTTTTTTCCTCCACAGTGAATATCCTACAGTAAACGGAGCTCAGTGCGCATGCGTTCTGCATCCCTATTTGTGATCCAAGACGCGTCTTGTGTCTTGTTGCAGCAGCAGCAGTGGCAGCAGCGGCACCTCTCTCTCCTCTCTCACGGTAACATCTGCTCTTTGGGCCGAGTCACATCTGCCCCGGTTCTCCCACATCACCGCGGTAGTCTCCTCCTGTCAGCCGCAGATAGGCGACAGGAATCGCCGCTTACGTTTCATGTTTCATCAGTGTGCGACAGACAAGCTTTTATTATCAGCAGACTAAAGCAACAGCTTATGTAAAACGGGAAGGTGAATATATAGAGGTCTATATAAGCTATCAATCTGACTATAACTCAACTTTATTTTTCATTTAAAGGTCCTATATTACACTATTTTCTGATCCATGTTATAACATTGTGTCCTTATCAAAAACTTACCTGGAGTTGTGTTTTGTTTCATTTGCACACGTTTAACACACAAACCCTGCACATGTACACTGTGTTCATCTCTCAAACAATAAAAATACACCTTGAGATGTCATGTGGTAATAGCCTACATGGCCGGCTTCACTGTGTTTTTAAACTCCGTTCACTGGAACAGAGCATTTTGAGATTTGGAGATGTAAACTGACTAATAATAAAGGATTACTCAAACATGTGAACAAAACAAACATTCCAGGTATGTTTTTGATGACGTAACAACATTATAACATGGCTAAAAGCTCACGAGTCAATTTTGTGTAATATAGGACCTTTAAGCTGTATTGCCTATCTTAAAATGGACTTGAGTTGCAATGGCTGCTACTATTACTTTATTGAATACATCTTTGTCATGTTCCTCCACAAACACAGGCTAAAACCCATTTGCTGTATCTAGCCCTATATGTGCTCCCTACAGTTTCAAAGGTAAACACACACTCCATTGTCCTCATACATGTTTGACTGCGAACACGCTCGAGTATACAGACAGGTTGGCTCAACTTAGCTTCCCTGTACTATGCATAATTGATTAGCACTTTCCCTGGTCCTGCTGTATCGTGTGCCTATGACAAATTGATAGAGGTTGATTTCTGAAACATGTACAGTACTGATGTGAAACAAGTGAACGATTCAATTACCCAAAAGTTGTGTACATCCAGCTGACATTAACTGCAACAGTGAGGGGAAAGTCTCTACCTGAACTACATATGAAATAGTAATGAGAAGACATATATGTAGGATGTTATGCTATCATTTTCTCAGTTTCTATATTTTATGAGTGGGAAACCACGCTGTGGTTGGTAGTGTAGTGTATCACATGTTATATATTCAATCAGAACATAAACTGCTACAACACAACTATTACATGTTGAAGATGTGTGTTTTCCATAACACTGGGATATGATCAAAAGCAGTACAGCTCTATTAAGTGGGTAGACTACTGAATTAAAGTATCCTATGTTTACATGTTGTATTAATGGGTTTACTGTAGCCTAAATCATAAATCTAACCCAGCTGTTGTAGTAACTAGGCCACAACCCGGAAGGCATCAGCTGTTGTCACGTGAATAGTAGCTTATAATTGCAGATGGACATGGCAATATTATTTTCATTCCTTCATTAAGACAACTCGTGAGTTTGGTGTCAAATAGTGAAGACAAATCAGAGCTAGGTCCTACAGTAACACGTTAACTCCTGGTAAATTATGAAACATTTTTATTGGCATACTTTGGGATAATGCATAGTTTTATATCAGGCTTCAGAACTAAAACAAATCTTAAAACAAAGCCTTCACAAAATGCATAGAGTACATAGAGCAGTCAGTAAGCAGAAGTGGACGACATTTGGTCAGTAATCTCAGCAGTGCTCCGTCAGTTCTCATTTCTGTACTTCCTGGATCCAAATAGTGTGTCCACGTGGTCGATTTTACGCGCGGTGCGTAAAGGCACAGTTGATAACAGCGTCTGCCTGACACACATTTGAGCCCGTGTTTCATAAAGAGCTCTCGGAGAGATGTGCAGGTAACAGATGGCTACAATCCTAAAGTCTTCATCACAGCTGCTCGTTCCTCTTCCGCGCGTACCAGCCCAGACAGGCGCAGAAGCCCACCCCGGTCACGACAGACCCGAGCAGGAGAGCGATGGCGTCTCCCGCGTCGTATGCCTCCACCGCGGGGATAAAACATGCGAGGAAGAGCCAAAGAGTTAGTGCTGCGCTGGGGAGCAGAAGTTTAGGAGCCATGTTGAGTTTTCCGCTGTTGCTGTGCACTTTCGGGAAGAAGCGTCGTCTGCGTCAGGTCAGGTGACAACAACAGAGCGCTGCACTTCCGCTTTCGCTCAGCCAATAGCGCGCAGTTTTTATTCCAACACATGTATCCAGGACAAGATCCTTGTTTCTCTTTGTCTCAAAATAGAGCTCCTACACAAAAATATTAATGCAGAATATTATTTCTTGAAAGTATGAATCAATTATTCTCGATTTACAAGCTTTTGCCTAATATAATACTATAATATTATACTACAAGGCATAATCCTAAATAGGAAAATCTGTTAGTAAAAAACAAAACAAAACAAAACAAAACAAAAAACATGCCCATAGGCTAACATAAAGACCATTGCAACAGAAGGTTATTTCTTCCACATGAAAAAAGGCAGTGTCCTGTTGATCCAGTCTTAACACCATCTCCTCTGTGATTTTAGTGCTGATAAATAAACAAATCATGTTTTATTTAAACAGTTTGATCATATTCACCTGGGAGATAAAGGTGAACATGTGGGAAATGCCAACATAGGGGAAATGCCGCTGTGATTATTGTCCACTGCAATAAATACAGTATCAGATATTAATTATTTAAAATTTCCATCAACTAATTTTTTTTGTTTCCTATGTCATTATAGCATGATCAATACTGATGACCAAGATCCTGGTTGAAGATATGAATGATTGTCCCCGTGGTAAGTATTTTCATTTTGAGATGTCAGAAATGATACATACAAAAGATCTTCACGCACATTCAGCCATATCCTTTTGCTTTATTACTAGGGCTGTTTATGTAATTTAGTTGATTAATTGTTCAGTGTTGTCCTAGTTGACCAAAATTTGCTTTAATCGACTAATCATTTGATTTAGATTATTATGATTTATTTGTGAGAACAACAGGAGAAGTTAGTGAGGGGGCTGGCAGAAAGAAAAACATGTATTTATATGTAATGAGACAGGTTAAACTCATGATTCTCAAGTTTAATCTGTCTTTATATAAATATATTGTTTCCTAGTCCTTTTTCAGCATAGTTATTTTTGCATGAACTCCTATTAGGTCAGATCATAGACCGTATAAAAAAAGTGGACTAAGCTAGTGTGACGTCACCCATAGTGTTCAGCACCACTCAAATGAGGCTCGAGATGTTAAAGGTTACAGGAGCGAATCTGGAGCCAGGCTGTTATGAATAGGATTTTTTTGGCGGACAAAATAGTGGAAAAAAAAAAAAAATTGGATCACGTAGAGTGGGTTAATACAAACATTTTAAGACCAAAATGAAGAGGCTCACTGCAGCAGTTACAGAGAGAGGCACGACCAGCTCCTAATGTAAGTCAATTGAAGTGAGGGTCAGAGGGAGCCGGAAGAGCCTCCTGGTGAACTTCCTATTTGGCACTAGAGCTCTTACTATGTCCACCCATATATACGGTCTATGGGTCAGATACATAGAAATGTTTACTAGTTTTGAGAACTTTTGCCACACCCCTCTTTAGTCAACTAATGGGTCAGCAGGACATGGCTTTAGTCGACTACAGCCTTATTTCTTACTGTCTTAAAAAGATGGTTTCCAACTGAACCAATGGCAATGCTGTACTTTTGATACAAATTGTCTGGTTTGCAGCACTGTGGGGTGTGTGTGTTGGGGTCTGTATCTCTGCAGGCTCTCCAGGGCCACTTTGTCTGTAATTTAATTAGAGCACACCAGCCAAAGTAAAATATTGACCTTGTAAGGCTGCCATAGTTCTGTACCTGCTGGAAGTGGGGAGATGAATGGTGTTCCTCATCGCATACTGGCACGCTCTCACTGCCTGGCTGTTTGGTAATTTGTCTCTCACACAACTTTGAGCTTCTGATCTCCATGGCTACGCTACAATGTGCCAACACCATTCATTCACTGTGATGGATACTCTTAATTACTCCCTCTCTGCTATTTCATAACAGACAAAATGCCAGGTAGAAACCAGGATACTAAGTTGTCCTTTTGAAAATTTCATAGAAATGTTTTGCTTTGCCTAGAATGTTCCACAATATGGCATTAAACTTGTCTATCATGGAGACAGGCAGGTGGCATCACCAGGTCAAGTTACAGGCCAGACCAAACATAACTCCAGGTATGTTTTTAAGGAGGTAACAACATTCTAACATGACTTAAAGCTCACAAGAGTCAGTGTTGTCTATTATAGGCCCTTTAAGGAGCAGAAATGGGTCTGGATTCAACTTAAGCTGTACCTGTGTAGCACAGCGTCTCATTGCAGCAGGTCTAAATGAACAGTGAAGGATGAGTGAATCTGCAGTGTTTGTCTAAGAGCTCAGGACAGTGACATTAATCTTCCTTTTGTGTTGTGCATTGTAATGCAGCACTCAGCCCTGAAAGCCCTGAGCCCAGAGCTGCCCTGTCAGAACTCTGAAAAGACTGGATCTATACAGTACAGTATGTCTTTATATGCTGTGCAAGACAAGGCTGCCCTTAGAGACACCGCTTTCACCAGTGTAACTGCGTTTCTCCATTGTAACTAAAGTTTCTGAATCATATGGAGAAGGTACACGAAAATGGTTCATGTACTAACTGATCATGTAAGTATTGGTACCAAAATATTTTTAATTTATATTGCCAGGGATTCATTAGTAAAATTAATACAATTCAATGTGGTATGCAGTTAGTATTCTCATCAGATCTGGGAAGCCAAGACTGGGCCTAGGATTGATTTATGGGAATACAGGTGCATTATTAGCATTACTACCACAATGCTAACACAAAACAGGCATTTTTAAACAATAGAATACAATTGACAACACAAAACCGTAGCATTTTCTATAGTATTGATTAGTTAATAATATCACTTTATTAACAAGTTAATGCAAAACAATATTAATGGTGTAAAGTTTAGATTAATGGTCTTTGTGACCTAGTGAACTAGTTTTTTCATAAGCTGTGGCCAGTGCTAGTACTACAGCACAGCACGGGTGCTCACGTACGTACACACACACAACTTTGCTATACAAGCCCTGTCAAGGACTCTGATCTTATTCATAAGAGGAAAACACGACATAAACTCCACTCCAAAATACAGGGTGAAACTGCACTTACCTTCAATAAGCACTGTGGACAGCAACAGAAGTTTTGCAACCTCATCTCTACCTGTCATCACTGCTCCGTGCTGCTATTATATCCATAAACTCAGAGAGGAGCGCGTATCACAGCACGACTCATGTCGGTCCCACTATTTAATAGACATTTCATGCTGCTGGACTTATTTTCTCCACTAAAAGCGTTAGCTCTTCTGTGTGACATATAAACATGCAGCGGTGTGTGATGACGTTATCGGGCCGTGGCTTGGTTCGGTTGTGCAGGCGTGAGTGCGGCCACAGAACTCTTCCTACAGCAGGCGTTGGGCAGACAAACACAGTCACGCTAACTGCAGTTTATTGGACATCTGTCGGTAATGAAAACTACCTACAGCACATTATTTCACCCCACAGTGGGAACTTCAGTCGCATGGACTGTTATGAAGACAGAAGAGAGGCACTTCACTGACACTGTTGCAGAGCACTTCATGAAAGTAGCCGGAGAGTGGAACATCGAACACAAAGTTGTCTCACTGTCAATTACTGTGGTTTGCAATAAAAAAAAAAAAATTTAAAAACATTTACACAAAGTAAGCCTATCCACTTTTCTATGTTGATAAGAGATAAAATTATGGTTCATAGGACAAAAATGTGCGAGTCATTTGTGATTAATAGTAAAATTTTGACATTCATGAGATTAATCGTGATCAAATATTTTAAGCGATTGACAGCACTAGTACTGATATGATGTGTCTTTTAGTTCTTTACATTCTAAAAACTATTCTGGTTATGTCCAATTTAGTATTGACTCTTATTTAAATTATATTGTATCTAGTTTCAATAATAGTTTTAGTATCAATTAGTATGGGGGGGTCCATTTTTCTGACACTCCAACATCAATATGACACTGTTTTGTAGTATTTTTTTTCCAATGCTAATTATATTGTGCCCATATGGCTAATATTTTTTTGAAAAGATGAACTCCACACCCTTTGCCATTCACCATCCCCAATCAATGTCTTCATTTTAAAGAGTGCTATACCTTTACAAACCAGTACAACACACAAAGATTAATTATCCCTCGAAATTGGTTCTCAGAAAACAGTAAAAATCTAACAGCTAAAAGCAATTGACTCTTTTGTGGCAGTAGCTCAGAGCTGCTTCCATAATGAATTGCACTTGTAAGGACAATACAGATAGGCTTTCTCCTGTCTTTGTGAGGCTGTAGTCGAAGTTAAAGAACAGTGAGTAACATTTGTTGTAAGAAATATTAAGCCATTCAGAGTAGAGCAGTTTGGCTGGAGTCAGCTGATTCACTTGGGTCAGATTGTGAGTCAGTAGCTCAGTTGGTGTCGTGTTTGTCCACTGATCAGCAGGTTGGTGGTTCAAATCCAACTCCCACAGATGGATGTTGTTGTTGTATCCTTGGGCAAGACACTCCGTCCTGTCTCTGTGTGCTGTAGTGGAAGGTAAAGAACAATGAGCAACATTTATTGTAAAAAATGGAAAGAGTAGAACAGTCGAGTGATTCATTCAGGTCAGATCTCGTGAGTCAGTAGTTCAGTTTTCTAGGGTGTTTATCCACAGATCCGAAGGTTGGCTGTTCGAATCCCACCGTTTGGAGGTGCAATTCCAGCTCCCACAGATGAATGCGGTTGTTGCATCCTTGGGCAAGACACTTACACGTGAATTATGCTTTTAATTCCTTCCTGTCTTCATATGCTGTAGTGAAAGTTAAAGAACGAGTGAGTAACATTTATTGTAAAAGAAATAGAAAGCCATTCAGAGTAGAGCAGTTTGGCTGGAGTCCCCTGATTCACCCGGGTCAGATTGTGAGTCAAAACACATGACAGACCTGCAGAAAGATGAATGACTCAGTGTAATTGTTCTATTCAAAGTCTAGGGTGCGAGGGTGGGTGCTGTGTATGTCACGTTTTTGGAGAGCTCCGTCGACAGTTGTATAGGACGCTAAAGGCTA